CAGTTACCGTTAAACCACTTTGCTGAAGCTGCCACTGCTGCTTTTAATATTTATGTTTTTTTAATATCTACAATTATCAACAATGGGTCTAATATTAAATGTTGATAGAGATGTAATATTTAGGGTCATGTTTTAACAAATGAATAAACGTATACCAGTAAAGTAAAATTACTTATTCATTTTTCTTTACATGCTTGATATTAAAAAGCTGATTTTACACTGCTGGTCTTCAAAGTTGAATATCACCAATAATGTGTGAAAGGTGTATAAAACTCCTAATGTATGAATGATGCAGAACATTTTAGGGTTTAAAATGAGTAAAAATCAGTAGATAAGAGTTGAAAATGCACGAAAAAGCTTCAAATGGTAGTTTTAGAGCAAAGACTTAAATGAGCTTACTGAAAAGTAGTTGAGATTTCCTTTAATTGTCTTTGTTGGAATGAGAATAAAACATCAGCTGAGGTCTAAGAGTTGAACTGTAATCACTTTTATTTAAAACAAATCTAGGTCCAAGGTACATAATTAGAACGTCTAGAGTTATTCTACAAGAAGAGGAAGAGGACACGTTAGGATCAGACTACACTAATGAGCTCATCTCAGTCTCAAAGGCTCAAAGGCTGTATTATTATAATTATAAGCTGTGATATCAAATAGCTTTTGCGGCTCCAGATACATTTTATTTGGTGGAAAATAGAGCAAAATGGCTCTTTGGATAGAAAAGGTTGCCGACCCCTGTTCTAGGCGTATTGTGCATGCTGGCTGTTTGGCTCTATAAGTGTTTTATTCTGCAACATGTTGAAGGCCGGGCTGCACATTCCTGTTGCGTCTTTATTAATCATTGCATTTGTATTTTTGTGTCGTTGACTACTGAACTACTTGCTGTAATCGTAGGTAAGGAGGACGTTGGCACAGTCTGAGCATGAGACATTCAGGACAGCAGCGCTGCATTATTGCTGTTTCCTTTCGCTGGCACCTTGAAAGAGTTTGTCCTCATTCAGCGGGTCTGAAACAAACAAAAAGACCAGATGGGTTTTGTGTCATGTGTCACATATTTTAATTGTGAAGTCTTGTTTCTCCTGCAGCTTGATGAAGGTGACGTTTCTGAAGCTTCAGTGAGATCTTCCTTCTCCCTCCGGTTCTCTGTGTTCATCGGCCCTGAAGATGGTCCAGAGGTGAAGGTTGGCGACCTGGTGTGTGTGTGTGTGTGTGTGTGTGTGTGTGTGTGTGTGTGTGTGTGTGGTTTCGTTCAGGACTCTCAACTAACATTTTATACCAACCTAAAATACAACCCAAGCTGTCTCAAAGTTAATGTGGACCGTCCCTAATTAAAAAAGTTAGTTAATCATTAATTGAAATCTAAAMAAATCTAGTAAATAAATTTACTATACATTCACAACATTGTTTTTATTTTATCTTAATCTTAAAAATGCAATTGTACTGGTTAGTTATTTATAATGTGCATGTTTTTAAAAAAAGTATCATTTGGTCAAATAAAGTTGGGAAGAGGAATAAATAAGTGGTTAACATGATTTGAACTGCTGCAGAGTTTTTGATTCCTCATAGTTAGCGTAACGTCATCGTCAGCTTACTCATTGTAAATGCAAACGTCGGCTGCAGACTGGTTATCTAGCATTAACTGTAATGTTACCGTTCCATCATCATCAAACATTTTAACGTTAACTTACTGGTAACGTTGACATAAATACAAGCAAACGTGACTTGGGTTTAATTCTCTGTTACGTGTGCTGCTGTCTTGAGGAGAGGTATGTGTGTATGTGTGTGTGTGTGTGTGTGTTTATGTCTTAAGAGGTTTAATAAGAGCTGTGTGCTACACTAAACGTTCACTCATTTTAAACGCTGTTCATTGCCCCCCGCACGACTGGACGTCCTTAAGCTCAAGCCCTGGTTTCACTTAACCATGGTAACTTTTAACCAAATCAAAATAAATTTGATCTTGACTTTAAAAGCCCTGCATATTATGGCATCGGGCTACCTGTCTGAGCTTCTCAATCATCAATAACCAGCCCTGAGCCTGAGATCCTCTGACAAGGCCGTGTTAGCTGTTCTCTGTTCACGGCTGAAGAAATAAGGTTGAAAGGGCATTTGTCGTATTTGTATTCGACACCTCCTCCTCTCTTAATTAGCTCTTGGTTTCAAAGCACTTTATAACAGTAGTTTTTTAAAAGGTGCTATATGAATTAAGTTATTATTTTTAATTATATTTCTATTATTTTTTCACTGTCCCGAACAACGAACACTTGAAATGTAAAACATTGCGATTTGACCTCTATTTAAATTTGTGCATTTTGGAATTCCCACCAGCAAGGAGGGAACTGAGAAAAGGTACGTCCATGTGAGCCCAGGATGAGTTCGCTTTCTTGATGGGTATTTGGGCTGATTTTGTTACCAATGTTATCTGTTCAACTGACTTTGCAAGTGATGAAGGACCATCATGTGATGGAGAGATCTCAGTTAAGCCTTAATACCCAGATGGGATGAACAGGAATAAGTAAGTAAATAAGTGGTTAACATGATTTGAACTGTTGCAGAGTTTTAGATTTTTCATAGTTAGCATAACGTCATCGTCAGCTTGCTCACTGTAAATGCAAATGTCGGCTGCAGACTGGTTAGCTAGCGTTAACTGTAAGTTAACCATTGCGTTATCATCAAACATTTTAACGTTAGCTAACTGGTAACGTTTACATAAATACGTGTAATTTTTTATATAAGTAAACGTGACTTGGAAGGTACTATATAAATAAAGTTCTTATTATAATTTCTCTGTCCCGAAGAATGAACACTTGAAATGTAAAGTATTGCAATTTCACTTTGAATTTTTGAATTTCCACCAGCGGAGGAGGGAACAGGTAAGTCCATGTAAGCCCAGAATTTTGCACTAGCTATCTTAGCAAGCTAGCTATCTCCCTATATATATATATATATATATATATATATATATATATATATATACATATAGGTTGATTAATTTAAAGTACATTTTCTGCAGCATCAGTCTAATGTTCTTCTCCGTGTTGATCAGACCTGCAGATGGAAAAGTGATGAAGGATGCCGACAACCAACGTAGGAACGCGGGTTCAACCCCTGCCACAGATAAGTGACACAGGAGTTATTGGGATGAGTGAATGAGTGGGTTAATTTCTCGCTTGCGCAAACGCCGTTCGTCGCAATTTCTTGTCAATTTCAACTTGCGAATTTCTAAATTTCCAACATTGACCAGCATGGAGGGATCAGAGAACGGGTAAGTTCATGTGTACCCAGCAGGTGGAGCTAGCTAGCTTCATGGAGAAATGCTTTTATTTTAAATGAAGGTTAAAACTTACAAAAGGGCATTGCAGCTTGCTCTACTTTAATTTGTATCCTACAGGAGCGGAAGTTTTGAATTAAGATGCAAATTTGACGTTAAATACAGCAGCAAGTGGCAATGATCTGGGTCCAAGCAGATTGACAATGAGCACTTGTAAACATACCACATGAAGTGCATGTTCTAGAGGAGGTGACTTATTGACTGCACCAACTGTCAAACATAGCTTTACATACACCATCTTACAACTTGAGGCAATGGCATCACATGCTCAGAACTGGGATATTTTCGTCTCTTTAGAGTTAAACGCCACAACAATAATAAAATTTAGTTTGTAATTGGTAAAGTAGAAACGCATATGGCATGTCATCTTTTAGACCACAAGAGTTAAAAACAGATTGGCAGAAAAATGATCTCCCCATGTGCAGGTAGTTTCCTCATGACCTCTTCAACCCAGCCCACCAGTCCCTTTGCCAGGAAGCCAAAGCAACCTCACAAGCAGAAGGCAGAGAGGATTCATTTAGCACAGCTCTGTGGCTGTTTATTGTGTTTCTCAAAATGGACTGATGTGGTTCTAAGCTGTCTCGCAGCATCAGTCTATTTTTAAGAGTGAGCGGTTTATTAAAGCGGGGCAGTTAAACCACATTGTTCTATCTGCTCACGTCTGAAGACACTGTTTATACGAACAGAGCAGCTGCAGCTTTTAAATACGCTCAACTGTGGTCAACTACTGACATCTGAAGCAGCTTGAGTTAACGTCTCGTAACGTATTGAACCATTACTATAATGAGATTAAACAAGCTGTACTACAATGACTCTTGATCGGGCTGGCTCAGGCTTGCCTTGGATGATAAAATAAGTTAAGATAATTCTTTATTAGTCCCACAGTGTGGAAATTTGCAGGATTACAGCAGCAGAGTGGATAGTGCAAACAAACAAACAAAAGACAAGTAGAAAAACAAGATCGAAAGAAGTATAATAAATACATAGTCACACAGCAAAGGTGTAATAAATAAGTACAAATTGTAAACAAAAAAACAACAAACTAACATGATGTAGTCGGACTGAATGGTTGTTAATATTGCACTGTGGATTGAACAAATTATTAATATCAGTGGAAACATTGGATTTATATTGCACATTAATGAATGAGGAATAGTCAGGTTTTGGTATGTGTGGTCTACTGGGAGCTGTGTTGGTTGTGCAGTCTGACATCGGCAGGAAGGAATGACCTGTGGTATCTGTCCTTCACACACCGCGGGTGAAGCAGCCGGTCACCGAAGGAGCTGCACAGTGCTGATACAGTGTCCTGTATGGGACACCTGCATGTCCATCAGGGATGATAGCGTAACCATCATTTCCATCTCATGGATTGACTAATTTTTTTATGTTCTGTACACATGACATCTATTGTACTCATGTCCATCCTGGGGGAGGGATCCCTCCTCTGTTTCTCTCCTTTAGATTTAGTGTTTTTTGGGAGAGTTTTTCCTGTTCCGAAATGCTGGATTCATATATCAGGGATTTAAGAGCAGATATTAACTCAAGACCCCTCTACGCTTCGGCAGAAGCTCACATTTGCGTTGATGTCATACATTAGCCACAGAAAGGGGAGGTTCCTGCCTTCATTACACCTAACTGTACTTCTGACTAATACTCAGACAGTCGGTAGCAAGACATCATGGAGGTCACAGCTCTCTGCGTCACACTGAGTGAGTAAATGTCTAATGTTCACGGAAATCTATTGATACAATCTCTGTGAAAGAAATAACAGGGCATATAGAGAGTTGTAATGTCACTGATGGAGCAAATATTACAGACATTTACATGTTAGTTATGTTATGTAACATGTGATACAGTAACAGTTCTCTTGTTTCTCCAGTGACGCCTGTGATGTTGCTGCTGGTCGCACAAGTTGACTTCAGTTATTCTCAAAAAGCAGGTAACTAACTTTACAATTTTATTTGTAATTGGTTTCATTTTTAGAAACAATGTCTTGTTATATTCTGCATCCCAAGTGATAATACCGAAATACTAGTATGTAACAAAATAGCATACCGCTAATAAAGCAAAGGGAAAAGCCAAAATGTATACATTTATTTATTGCATTTAATTAAGGATGACTTGAGAAACATTTGAAGAGTGTAATGCTTGTCCAAATTCAACTCTGTTAGGAAAAACAAGAAAATCTTTGTGGCAAACTCTTGTTTTGATGTAATTTATGTGAATTTCAAATACAAGTTGTTGGAATAGTAGACATGTCATTCTTTGTCTCTGTACTGGATGCAGCTTTTCCTCAGGTTGTTCCAAACAGACAGCAGCACTTTCAATATGAGTCCCTTGTGGTCAGCTGTGAGGGACTGGAGGGGCTGACTGGATGGAGAGTGATGCAGAGGATCAAAGGAGTAGATAAAACATGTGCTACCGACTGGTCCAAATCCACAGGACCCTGTGAAATAAAAGATGCCTATCCAGCACTTGACAGTGGAGAATACTGGTGTGTAATGGGAGTAAAGACCAGTAACACTGTCAACATCACTGTCACTGGTATGCAAACACTAAAACACTAAGAACACAAGGCCATCACATGTTTAGTCTGTGAGCATCTCAGTTTGAAGATTAATTGAATTATTTGTTAAGTGTTGATGCATTACTGTGTTAATAAAACATTACCTGGTAAACTATTAAAACCAGGAATCATCTGCTACATGGGCCAGCTTTATTCAATGACATTTTAAATTATGTAATTAACATATTTTTTATCTACGTGTTGTTCAGATGGTCCAGTGATCCTGGAGAGTCCGGTCCATCCTGTGATGGAGGGAGAAGCTACGGCTCTGAGCTGCAGAGTTAAGCAGGCGTCCCCCTACCTCACAGCTGAATTCTTTAAAGATGGCCACTTGATGGAGAGAAGCTCTACAGAAAATGTGAACATCCTCACTGTTTCCAAGTCTAATGAAGGACTCTACAAGTGCAGAATCCCTGGAGCTGGAGAATCACCTGTGAGCTGGCTGACTGTCAGAGGCGAGACGTAGCAGTGTTTAAAAATAAATCTATTGATGCTTAGTACCATACCTATTTCAAGTTGTATGTTTTAAAGGTTGATAGAAGTATTACAAACAACTTGTAGGTCTCAGGATGTATTATAATTTGAGTGGACTCAGTAAAAAGTATTATATTGATATCAAAAAGCATTATGTCTCATCTGCTGCACATCCCATTATCTCTCCAACAGCCGATGAAGAGCCTCATCACGGCCCTGAGCTCCTTCTGCTGCTCTGCATTGGTGTAGGTGTTTTCTTCGTGGCTTTGCTGCTGTTGGTGGGATTACGGGTGGGATGTAGGAAACGTCCAACAATCACCACAGGTACAGATAAATGGACACCACTTCAAATACTGATGCAAAGTTTGCTAAAAGTCAGATCTTCACTGTCACAATTGTGATAAAACACAATGTAGTTCTGCGTGTGTTAGAAATGTTAGCATGGATGCTAATATATGTTTGAAATTTCTGATGGATCCTGACGGCCAATTACGCTGTTCTCACTCGTTTCATTCCATTCAAACAGATTCTCCAACCCGTCCTTCCTCGTTCCAGTCTTCCTCTTCTCCTCAAACAGGTGAGGAACACCAACCTCCATTTATTTTAACACAACGGTATACTGTGTGTGTATCTTGTCACTATGCAAATGACTCCGGGTAGGAAGGTGGGCGGGGCTAATTACCCCAGCTTTCTATCTATCTTACAATCTACTCAGTCCTAACATCTTTCATCGATAAAGAAATGAAACTGTCGGTTGGATCAATGTCTTAAGCCTAAGAGGACTTCCACCCATCCACACCCAGTAAGTGGGACATGTAAAGTAAGGCCCTATAGAAACATCGCCAAAAAGTGAATTCATGCCTTGTTTTCAGCAGATTATACCTCTGTAATGCATTATCCACAGGCCTTCCAAAACACTCCATTGACAGACTAACCAAGAAAAAAAAGATAGAGGTATAAGGCCAGCTCCAGCCAGCCAGAATTAATTTCATAATTCCACTTATACATGAAGCCCTCAATAACCAGGAACCACATTATTCTGTGAGTTCTTTGTACTTTTAGACCTCATTGTCATTCTGACATTGTCGTCTGTCGACCTTTACGTATATTATTCTGGGGCATTTCGGATGGTGTGAAGAATGGTGTCGTAGCCCAGTGATGTAAACAGAGGAAAGTTTTTGTAAAAAATGACAAATGCTTGTGTTTCATGCATGCACATTACACATGTGCATGTGTGCACACTTCCAGGAAGGGTAGCACTGAGTTAAAAGTATGTCAAAAGCAATCACAAAACCATGTTTCTGCCATGCTATGTCTAAACTATGTCAAGTATGATAAAGAGTCCAAGGATTCGAGATCCACAAACGAAACATGGGAGTTAAAACAAGTGTTGGTATACTAGAATAATATCAATCCGCTTGCTGATATTTTATTATAGGAATAGATTTATAGAATGTATGTAAGTAAGCTTATTTGCTTTGGCATAACTACCTGTTATTCATAGGGTGTTGTATTTTTATTATGTTTCAGTGTATGGACAGGTCAGTGTAGCTGTTCCGGTCCAGGGAATATATGCTGGCGTCACAAAACCCAGGATGGAGAAAGGTAATTAACTTGAGAAACAAAGACTTTAACATCTAAAAATGTAATATATTAGTATTCAAGTTGACCTTCATTTAGACTTAAGTTTGCATCAGTGACATTACTGTGGTGTCACATCAAGAAAATGGTGAGAGCCACTGAATTACTTATCTGACATTTATATGCTATTTTGAGGGTTTGTTCATCTTTAAAGTTAAACTGTGTCTGCTACAGGAAGTTCAGGCCTGAGTGATAGTTAAAGCTTCTTTTTTAGCTACCCAGACATAAACCACACGAGAAACCCACTGACAAAAGAAGGTGGACGGGCCCCTCAGTTCATAGCCGCTCTCATGTCGGCTGATCTTATGGTTATAGGGAGGCTGTTTAAGTCAAGAAGCCACCATGAAAATAGTACACCACAATGCACGTGTTACATTTATTTTTATCAGGACAAGTGCTTTAAGGCACCCGGCAGCCTCATGTGTTGTGTGGGTAAGTGAATGGGTGGTCAGTATTTCATACAATGGGGCCAGTAATCAGAACACTCATACGTCGCAGTAAATTTGGACCCTTATTTTCTTACAGATTCATATTTTATCAGTATAACAGTCAATAACACAGAAGGACACTAAGTCCAAACTGTGATCGGATGAAACAGGGCAACAATTTGTAAAATATTAGTTTAGAATAGAAAAAGTAATCAAATTGGACCCTAATTAAAGTCTAATGCAGTATCTAACACACATATTAAGTTGGGCATCATCTGCATGATAATGATTTAAAAACACAATCAAAGTTGTGGATGGTGCATTTAAGGAAAATATGTGTTTTTAGAAAAAGTGCCAATAATTTAGGTACCCTACATTGCAGCGTTAGGCCGGTTCGGACGTCTGTATGTGTGGTTGCGTGTATTTAAATAGTTGTTCAATCTTGTACTTTTGAATGTCTCAGGCTCTCTTAAAAATGGTCTCTCAGTCAGATAATGACGAGTCCTTTTTGTTTATGCCTGTTCACACACATTAAGCCTGGGGAAGGCTTGACGAACAATTCAGTCCACAATGATAAAGGTAACACTACTGAGCTGAACCCGGGACAGAACAATCCACTCAGCACTTTTATTATTACTGCCACTTGGTCACTTTAAGACTTTAAGATGGATAATTGTTGTGTATTGTTGTGTATAGTGTATGTTGTCAAATGTGCCAAAGCTTAAATTATACGTGTATTTCAATTTCATTCAAATCAAAAATGTATCTGAATCTGAATCAGATGTGTTTTCACTCTTGTCCTGCTGGAATGGCGGGCGACTTAAACATCTTTTTTCATTGGAGAGAAGAAAGATAAATGAGCTAAAACAATAATGTTAACCTTTTTAAGTCCATAGCTGTGCTTCATTCAGGACACAGGTCATGGAGAGTTTAAATCTGCATTCAGTATTTTATAGACTGATTCATTTACTTTAAGCATCAGTATATTTTCTTCCCCTGTGGTCCATCATTCTGACCAATGTTACAATGATATCAAGAGACTTCAAAGCTATTTAGGGTCGTATATATATTTCAGCTTTCAGATAAATGAAAAATTCACAATTTTGAAAGGTAATTTCTTTCCAAAACAGAACCAGGAGGATCCAGTCATTGCAACAGAATTGTAGGTACCAACCCGCTTGTAACAGAAGAGGATCCCTTCTATTATACGATTGATTAGGCAAGACTGACTTTGCTCTATTTTCTGTCTAGAAACAGGGTTGTATGCGTCCTAATTGTTCTGAACATACTGACAGCTACATCCTTTCCCCCGGTGTATCTTGCAGGTTCCTGAGAGCAGAGACTCCTGACTGAAGAAGGAAGAGATGTAAAACTATGTGCAGGTCCTACGACCACACAGAGCTCTTGAATTAATGCATTTTGTAAAATGTCGACCAAATTTGTTTTTAAACTGTAACATTTCTAATCACCCCCGTTGCAGAAATAAAGTTTTATAATTTTCTTCTAAACAAAACTGTTTTCAATTTGTTGTATGTGTTTAATAGCGTCAGTTGGGAGAGTTGTCTATGTTCATGATAAAAGACAATATTTCTGTGCTTAAAGAATTATAGATATCGCTGGTTATGTACATTTGTAGACAGAGAAAATGTATTCTTAATTAATGACAATGGGAGGTTTCTTTATCATCATCTGAGGGCTTCAGCTAACTCACAGCCTCAGTGTCTGAAGCAGTTACAAGAACACAGCTGCTGTAGATTATAATACACTGACTGAGGTCAAGTAGTAAGATAATTACATCCGTTTGACCTGAAACAAATATAGACACATGTGACAAATGATAGCATCACTTCTAAATTTGAATTGAAGTTGATTAGGTGTCTCCATTTCTACAAAATGAAGACAAGATGAATTATGGGTGCTGAAGAGAACAAACAGTGCAATTAACCCTGACGTTCTGAATTACGATGTGAGGAAAAGTGAGAAAGGAAAATCTGACGAGCTGCTACAGAAAGCTTTGCAGAAGGTACGTAAAACAGAGGAAAAGAGAGATGGAAAAAAGTTGCACAAATTCACACGTCCTTGGAGAGTAGTTGGTTTGTGATATTTGCAACACGAACCAGACAATAAGTTAACATACAAACACAACATTCAACCAAATGTATTTGTCTCTTTTGTGGAGGAGTTGATTATCGGCATAGAAGAGTTTGTATAAAACCTCCAAGAGCTTCCACTGGTTTACTTTTTGTGTCAGGCTCGGCCTTATTATGGAAGTGGAAGATTTTCTTGTAAATGTACGATTTTGGAGAATATTACCCCTCCAGCCTAGCATGTCGTCCGCAGAGGGCAGACAGCGGCTCATTGACTGGAGTTCAGTTGTTGTTGATGGATCTTGGATAAAGCCTGCTAACGCTACATGAATGCTGGATAACGTTGAAACCGACTATTTCCACACTTCCCTGGATTCAACAAGCAGATAAGCCTGCAGGAAGAGGGCTACGCTGCCATTGCATTATTGCAAATCAATGCCGTAAGTTTATTTCACCAAGTTTCTGAGTCACTGCAGGCCATGATCTCTTAATCATGGCACACATTGTTTAGACCCATCATTCATTAATGCAAGAACAGAGTTCGTATTACAGAACAAACACAAATTAATGTTCACGATGACCTCTCTCCAGTGTAATAGTAGTTATTTATTCCACATCTTCTCATCGGTAACCTTTACACTTACATGAGACACGTGCTATTTTCACAACATTGCAAAGATAATAGTCTTCAATCACAAACTCAGTATGTGTGCTTCAGATGAAAGAGATGCAATACTATTCAGTTGACCACAGTGCGTGTATCTAAAAGCCGCTGTGTGAGAAACGTGTAAACGTTGTTCTCACACATGTGAACAGAGACGGAACAAGTCAGTTTAACTGTTCGACCATAATAAACTAATACTTCTTAAAAATAGACACAGATTCTTTGGTGTGAAGATGTGATCGTTTAAAGCTCGTCCTTCAGTCAGCTGCTGCTCAGTAACCTGTAAGATAAGAACATAATGTAAAAGTATGTCAAGGAAACATGGAAGTGCAGACTTAAGATACAGCCTTATTTTATTATCAAAACACATATTTGTGTGTTAAAACAAAACTCAAGTGTAGGTATGGATTGGTTGACTGATTTATTGATTTAACAAATGTTAGCACAGAGCTTATTCCTAATTAAACGTGAACCATTTAAAATTCCTCATTACTGATTACATTTAGGTTACATCTAGAAATACTGACTTCATACAACAATTCAGTCAAACATTTTGATATGATATTTTATTAGTCTTCTAATTTTTAAAAGCAGCAGAATCAAAGCTTTGACCAACAAGTAAAGGGAAATGCTGTTGGAAGCGGTGTCAAGTCATATCTGAGTTATCCCATATGTGTGTTTTTGTCTTTGAGTCAGAAACGCTGTAAGCTCTGCTACATCCGACTTGTTGCTTATGATACAGAAGTGCTGAAACAAGCATCGATGCCTGTGTTCGATTTTATAATACATTTAAACCCAAATGTAAGTATAGTTTTATAGTCAATTAACAATATTTTACAATCCACAAACCACCAGATCATACATCTGTCTTGAGTCTTTCCAATCTCTACGATTCAGATATGATGTGGATGCGGCATAAAAAGCCAGTTTTGACCTCAGTCTTACCTACGGGATAGTAGAATATAAGGCATTCTCTTTAGTAGATGGGTTGCTACTTGCTGAGGGCTCTGCTTTAACAATAGAAGGAATTATGTCAGTGTGTTGCCAAAATATTGACAAACACTAAATTCACTGAATTTATCACAAAAGACACCATTCAAATGGCTTTTTAATCACAAGTCTTACCCAGGTGTTGAGTGGCACCCGGGCCCACGGTGCAGTAAAGAGGTGTCGATGGCAATTCATCCTCATCTGAAGGAGAGACAGTGTTAGTCAGCTGATGAGTAAAAATATCAACATCAGTAATAATGCTCTGGATCAACTTAAGTTAAGTTTGAATATCTGTTTGTTCCCTTCAATGCTTTTTCTTTGAACCAGGGATAGTTTAACATTTGAGGTTGTGCACTTTTTTCTCTTGTCTCTTCAAAAAGCTCCCACCATTCAGTCGCAACGTGACAGTAAAACCCAAATGAGTTTAATAATCTCATGTTTTGACTGTTTAATCATTGTGTTATGGCTTAGATTCATTGGGCTTAAGAAGTATAATTCCTGTACACAAAACCAATAGATGCATTCAGAGACTAATTCACTAACTGACGTGCGGTTGTGTTGACGGTTATTACCATTAATGTGCATGGCAGTTCATTTCTAAACCAAATGATACATTAAGAAATGTGAGCTGTTTTAGTGAATAAATCCACAATGTAGATATTGCTTATTGTGGTCTGTATTAGACATGAGGTAGAAAAAGTATGTAGCAGTAGCATTAAAGCAAAGACAATGTCAGGTGAAGTACCTTTCTTCTTCCTCTTTTTTGTTACGACCGTATACGTCACTTTGTCTGCATCCGCCGCATTGACCTCTACAGAGACTGAAGAAACTACTGTACATCCATTCACACAGTAGATACAGGAGACACATTTTATTTTCATAATAAGCCTTTCATTTTAATCACAATTTTATTTTCACAAGTAGAGTTCTCATTTTAATCATTGGAAAAAATCAACAGGAAATTAGTGTGTATATATATATATATTTACAGTATATATATAATAAATATCTTACTTTAGGACGCCAACAATATAGCAGTACAGTGATGCATGGTTTGTGTACTCACCTGCTTGATCCGGAGCTGAGCCTGGTCCAAGTGTTAGTGTGGACAGGTAGAGCAAAGCTGTAGAGCAAAGATGGCGTTTGCATTAGTTCCGTGCTTCATTTTGTAACAGTAATATTACATTGATTTGATTCATTTATAAAGGAGTAGAAATAGACAACCGTTGACACAATTAGAATTGTCCTCAATTGACAAGCGCTTCTATATCAGCAAAGTTGTGAGTTGAATGTATCCCTACCTCTGTGACAATAATCTCTGCCAAAGTAAAGTAGTCCGATCGCCAACAGCAGAACCATCAGCAAAACAGTGACAACGATCCATGGGGCAGAACTGGAGGACGGACTGGAGGAGGACGGACTAGTCTCTTCAGTGAGATCAGGAAGAGACTGAATAAACCTAATAACATCACATATATGTTAAAATATTATTCTGAAACATGTTTTACCTCTGACAGTCAGCCAGCTCTCTGCTGATTCTTCACCATCAGGGATTCTGCACTTGTAGAGTCCTTCATCAGACCTAGAAACACTGCGGATGGTGATGTTTCCTGTAGAGTTGCTCCTGATGAGGAGGCCGTCTTTATAGAAAGCAGCCGTGATGTTGGAGGACGTCTTGTCTCTGCAGCGCAGAGCGACAGCGTCTCCCTCCGCCACAGGAAGCACAGGACTCTCCAGGATCGCTGAGCCAGCTGAAAAACATGCGTTTGATATTTACGTCAAGTCACAGTCATGATTTCTTTATGACAACATGTTGTGTTATTAATGCTAACATACCAGTGACAGTGATGGTGACGCTGTTGCTGCTCTTTACCGCTCCAGTCTCACACCAGTACTCTCCGCTGTCTTCTGGAAAAGCATTTTTAATGATGCAGGAAGACCCCATTGAGTTCAGCTTACGGGTTCTACATGTGAGTTGTTCCCCTTTGAGTCCTTCACAATGGACAATTAGAGACTCGTATTCAAAGAGCTGCAGTCTGTTTGCGACGACACGAGGAAACACTGAACCTGAAACAAAGAGATTAGTTCTCAGATGACATTCAAACTCGTGGCATATAGATGTGATACAATGAATGTATCTGTACATGAAGACAAAATAACATCATTCCAGTTCACCAAAATCACATCAGAGCATATCTCCCTGTCTACTTCTTACAGAAGATCAACCAACTGGTACTTACCAACTTTCTGATCCAGAGCACACAGCAGGAACAACACAGTCATTGCTGGAGAGGCAGAAAAAGAGCTTAACATCACTGAGACGTGTTCATAGCATCCACATGTTTATCGACCTCTGCAGCGACTTCAGCTGCTCTGATAGGTCTGTTCAATCATAACTGGTACAGACAAACACACATTATGCACCAAGAGACGACAGAATCGAACAGTTCAAACGGCCTCTTGATCATTCTGCTTTCACTAGCTGGAGACAGAGTCAGTACTCACACAGTCGGATGCAGAGAGCCGTGACCTCCATGTTGTCTCACTGCTGACCGTCTGAACTGAGTTCAAAAGTGAGAAGAGGTCTCTTCCTGTGTGGCTTTTTTTTTATAACTTTGCGCTTTAGATTGAAAACCTCATGTCAGACACAGAGCTGCTGTCGAGGTGGAAATAGCCTCAGTGGTTAAGTTAGTCTCAGTGGGAGGAGCCAAAGAAAAAAGACTCACGTATGAGAAGGACCTTAAACACCTTTCGACAGAAAAGTGAGACTAAGCCGCATAATACTGTCTCAGCTTGTACGTACGTTCCATGGTGGTAAGAATTTCCACAGAGACGAAGAACCATCGTCACCCATAACAATCATAGAACGTGACACTTATCAGGTATTTATAGGTGTTTCTCTGGTCTCTCGCAGTGGTTCTCTTAATACATGACCTCTTTTCTCTCTTTATATTCATTTTGAAGTTTGAAGTTGTAATTACATGTAAATCTGTCCAGAACTGAAGATGTATAACTGCACTCTACCAAAGTCCAGCAACACGTGTCAATTTCCACTTGTTACATGCTGACAGTCTCTTCAAAATAAACTTAACAGGACATTCAGTTGGGTTTAGACAACAAAACTAGTTGGTTAAGTTTAGAAAAGATCTTGAACTACTTGGTTAGATTCAAGCATCAAAAGTACTTGGTTATCTTTATTACTCCCCAAATTACAAACAAATGTCTGTCTATTGTCCAGCCATGTTGGAGGAAATGCGGGGCAGTAAATGTAAACCACTCTCATGTATTTTGGCTATGTCCGGAAATTGTACAGTTTTGGGGAAATGTCCATATGGTTATAGTCCAAATTCTGGGCTATGACATACCAAAGTCATTTATCTTTCTCTACTTAGGTAATCTGACAACAGACACTGTGTTAAGAGAAGACAGGTATTTACTGAAGATCTTGCTAGCAGCTTGCAAGAAGGCTATCAGGAAGAGATGGCACAAGGCAGATCCACCATCACAAGATGGATGGCTGAAAATTGTGACTGAAATGGAACTATTAACTCGTAGAATAAGAGCTCAAGTGGAGCGATGTCGTGAGAAGTGGGAGAAATGGACGATGTTTACATGTCAACGATAACACAACCTGAATATTTCACAGGAGTTATCATGCTTTTGAAGAGACAGAGCAATCCAGATCCTTTTTTTAATTTTTATTTTATTTTTTTAAATTGATGTTTACGTTTTTGTGCATGTATTGTCTGTCTGTCTGGTGAAAAGCAGAAAAATAAAGTGTGGAAAAAAAAAAAAGTACTTGGTTAGTTTCAGGAAAAGATCGTAGATTGGCTTAAAATAACTACAGAAGCGGCGTTGCTTAAGTTGCTTAAGTACAGGAGGTACGTGGCAAATAAATCAACGCTAACTTCTCATTTCTCCTGGAGAAAAGACCAGTTTGACCCATCCACCTACTGATAGTATGACAGCTGTAGAAGAACTCTCTGGCTTTATTACATTGATTTCAACACTGTGGTGCATGCATACACCGTCAGTTTCTCTTTTCCCTTCCTTCTTTTCTTTTTAGTTCTCACACACACTCAACCACACACACACACTCACACACACACACACACACACACACACGTATTGGATGCACTACTCCTTGTCTGCCCCCTGCAGTACATCATTCACAGTGCATCAAAAACATTTCGTCCCTCAAACTAATTTATTTTATATACTTCAATTTAAAAGGTCTAGTTACATACTGACCGTTAACTGGTATCAAAGTATTAAATAGTGTTACACGATGTGCCTGTACCATTCAAACGACAACACGGTCATGATACAATTATATACATATTTTTTTCTTAACACTTTTTTAGACGGTGTAATACAAGCAGGAAGTGAGACGTGATGCTCTGAGGTGCATTTTACTGCACGTCGTCTTTTTATGGCACATTTCACAATCCAAATGTGATCCGAATGCTCAGAGATGCTGTGGTCACTCTGCAGAGGGTTTCTCACAGTCATGATGAAAGTGGATTGTGAAATGTTCGTGACACGTTGCAGACAGTTTTGCTTTGACTTCTAGGAATCTTTAGTCTTGATACAGTCACATGACACACCTGCTTCTAGGCCACGTGGTCAGGACACACACGATAAGAGCAGCAAGTCACGGGTTTGATTCTCGAGGCCGGACAGTTTACTGCATGTTATTCCTCGACTGTCTCTCTCCACTCTCTTTCAATTAAAGACATAAAGTGCCCAAAAATAATCTTCAACAAGGTTGGATCAACCTCATCACGCCACGGACGCCATCGCTTGCACTGTAGTGCCTGCAGTGGATGACCTGATCAAATCATACTTTGCAATTGAATATAGCATAATTGCATTCAAATCTAATTACAGATTACACTACATACGTACTCAAATTCACATGGTGTCTCCTTCTGAAGAGCAGAAGTATGGGAGGTGCCTCCTCTGATAAATACTGAAGATATAACTGTATGAATGACAGCAAAGCTAATCCAACATGACTCAATAGTTGAAATGATGTTTAGTCTATTTCCTCCTAACGGTTCATGTTTTGGGCAGAGTTCCCATAAGACAAGATGACATATATACACGATGATGATGATGATCATGAGACCTGATAGCCTTCCCTTCTGCGGTTCTCTGTCTGTGTCAGCCCTGTGATAGCCTGATGTCAAGGGTGTAACCTGCCACCCCCCCCCCCCCCCCCCCCCCCCGATGTAAGTGGTTACAGATCATGAAGGGATGGAGGAGACCTGGGGGTGTTTTTCTAGATCACCTGATTCTGATGTGCTGGTGTATAATAAGTACGAGGACCAAACTCTTTCACGGTTTCAGGTTACTCTGAAAGCAGATGCTGACATTTAAACTCCTAACAGGGTAAGAATCTGTGTGTATGTATACATTTGAAATATAGTATTTTATTCGGATTAGAATTTACAAAATGTGTAGCAATCCTCTACATTGCATCAAAGCTTTGTGACTTACTTCCTTAATTGAACCACATGATGATATGTTTCTTGAGAGTTCCTCGTATCAGTCAGGACTTTGTAGGATTGAAACTCATTCTCTTTCTGTTGCCAAAGACGGAAAGAAGAGACACTTCATAAGTGAGATGGATCTGCGTGAGGTAAAATGGAAATCAGGTAAGTAAGACTTTTTTTAAAAATCATTTAAACATGAACTCTAATTGAAAGCTTTATTTTGCGATCATGCAAACACTTAATTTTCAATCTGATCTGGTTTGCAGTGAAGAGGCCGAGGCATTGAGTCAGCTTAGTTCCATGATTTATTCCCTGTGATTCAGACCCATTGAAGATATCAGTGCTGTACTTCTGCTTTTCCATCACAGTCTTCATTACACTGCTCGCTGTGTGATGACGTATGATGAAAGGAGGAGAGGCACATTTTTAGCTGGACTTCATAAGAATGCATTTATCACAATGTCCAGAAAAATTTGACTTTGCGAAAGAAACTCCTGCCAGACAGAAACTTTATTGACTGTTGGACTTATTCTGAGTCTGTCTTCATGACAGCCTCAGGTACGTGTTGGTTTATGCAATGAGGAGAAAGTAAAGTCTTTCACATCTAGTTGCTTTGGCTCTAGAAAACTCTTTCACACTTTGGCAACCAGAAAAAAGAGCAAGTATGCTCAATAAAGAATCAATAAAGATTTTAAATATCTTGATAAAAGTTCCATATTTGGATGTGCTTCTCTCTCTCTTTGTGTTTCCAGCTGCTGTCAGTGTGCTGCTGTTCATTCTCTACCTCAGCAACACTGCTGCTGCCGTCAGCCTGAAGGAACATCTGGCTGACTGTCTGAAGGACAATGACTACGAGGAGCTGCTGCACACGGTGAAGACCGGCCTCCCTCACATAAATACATCTCATCATGTGGTTATCGTGGGAGCTGGCATCGCTGGACTGACGGCTGCCAAGCTCCTGCAAGACGCAGGACACCAGGTACATGCAGCAGGATGACACTTTAGAGCTTCACAAATATCAGCAACAATGTTGACATTCGTAGCAATATTCAATGTAGTCGTTTCATAGTACTCTTGGTATCAGCAATAGCTGGAGTTGTAGTTGTATTAATCTGTCATGACAAGGTGACCATAGTGGAGGCTAGTGGTCGTGTTGGAGGACGAGTGGAGACCTACAGGAATGAAGAAGAGGGCTGGTATGCTGAACTGGGAGCCATGAGGATCCCAAGTTCTCATCGGTAAGATTGTATTTTTTGAGTTGAACATTTACATAAAATAATGTGAATGCAACTCTCACAGTCTAACATGATTTTGTAAAAGGGATAGAGTGCTTCAAAATATGACTTGGCAGGAGATACATTTCCTTTTCGGGGCCAGTGGAGGATACCAGTGTTATCGCTGGTGTGTTGGTTACTTAACTAAAATCAGAAAAGTTATTCAGGGATTGCCTACACATCAAGTGTGTCAGAGGGATCTTAATTAATGTACTGTCTTTGCTACACACCTTACATACCTTGCAAAAACTCTGCCACTATCACCTCCTCTGTTAACAGAATCGTCCACTGGTTTGCTGAAAAGCTGGACGTCAAGCTGAATGAATTCATCATGGATGACCCCAACACCTTTTACTTCGTTAATGGGTTGCTGAAGAGGACGGATGCAGTCCAAAAAAACCCTGACATCCTCAAATACAATGTTAGTAAAAGTGAGAAAGGAAAATCAGCCGACAAGCTGCTACAACAAGCTTTGCAGAAGGTACGTAAGACAGAGGAAAAGATGGAGAGAAGGAAAAAAGTCACACAAATTCACACATCCTTGGAGAGTAGTTGGCAAAGGACATTTGCATCTCTAACCAGACAATTAGTTAACATACAAACACAACATTCAAGCAAATGTATTCGTCTCTTTTGTAGAAGAGTTCATCATCGGCATAGAGGAGTTTGTATAAAACATGGTGCAACATAGCTGTTATGATAGCCTCATCCATTTTGGACCTTCCGAGTGCAGATGCCGATATACTTTTCCTTCCCAAGCAAGTTGACTAATTGCCGAGTTTAGTTTAGTTTTACACTGTTACCACCAGTAAGGTTGAAGCAGGATGTGTTTAAAATCTTTAGTTTTAGAAAATTAGACGAAGAAAACAAACCAGTTGAGCTAACATGTAACATTTAGCATCTTAGTCAGGCAGTCACCAAAGTAATCTTAATTTACCCTCCAGTGAAAATAATACTTCACTCTGGACAAAAATATTGGATTTAACAGACACCATTGCATTGCTGCTAGGTGGCTTCATAATTCTTTGGTTTGTGTGCTCCAACCTCCAAGAACTCCCATTGGTTTGCTTTCTGTGTCAGGCTTGGCCACATAGTTGAGTGACACATTCATGGTTCATTATAGACATAGAAATCAAAGCTCACTTAGTGAATGCTCATGGATACACCATCAGCTCAATAGATGATTCAATTGACTTCATCAATGCAAGTGAATTTTTGCTTTTTCTGTCTTTTGTAGGTCAAAGATGAAGTGGAGGCTCATGGTTGCAGGGCTGCACTGATAAAATACGATCGTTATTCTGTAAAGGTAAGACACAATGTGATGTGTACAAATCTTGTAAAATTAGAACACTGTTGGGTATATGAATTATGGGAATCACTAATAATATTTTAGTGTATTACTAATAGCATCAATTAGGTGTGCCATTTCTGATGGTTCACCATTTGAAACAGATTGCTCAAACTTCCCACCACCTATATCTGACAAGTGGAAAACATTTGATCAAATAGGTTTGTTTAAATAAATTGTAAACCTTCGTGCTAAGCCCGACTTCACAAAAACAACTTTGAAACTTTGTTTATTTCACAGGACTATCTGAGAGAAGGAGGTCTGAGTTCAGAAGCAGTGAGGATGATTGGAGACCTGCTTAATGAACAGAGCCTCATGTACACTGCGCTGAGTGAGATGATTTATGACCAGGCTGACATCAATGATGACGTGAAGTGAGGACTGACATCCCACACTGCCAGCTATTCAAAATGTGAAAACGTTTGCACAGTAGAGCTCAATAATATTAAACCACTAGCCAGAAAAAGTAATGAAAATCAAACAGTTGTCATGAAAGGTTTGGAAAACTGATGTTGTACTGTACACCTCTTTGCAGATGACACCGTGTCTTAACTTTTTGTCCTCACAGTTTAGTTTTTCACTTTATCCACACATTAGCATTCGTTGGGTTGTGTTTCTGGCCACCCATCAAATATACGTCCAATATTAACTTACATAGCTATGCTTTGGTTTTCACCAAATTATCCAGCTCTTTTGAAACTACATGTTCACCAGCAAGTCACTACTTTGTTGGAACTGGGCAGGAAGTGTACAGAAGGTTTACCAAACCAGAAAACTAAGACAATTCTATGTGGAGATAATGTTAGTTTGTCTTAGATTTGTGGTGTAACAGTCGAGTGAATCCAACTTTGACTCTGATATTGGCAGCCTTGAATTAATGTCAATAGACAAGAATGACTGCAGGTTGCTCTCCTAGTCTGCATCATAATCTATATATATATACTGTAAATACTTTTACTTAAACAGCATACAGAAACATTGCAAATCTCTCTCTACTAGAATGCATTCAATAAGAGAATCTATTTGTCTTTTTGTTTTTAAGGTACTCAGAAGTGACTGGTGGGTCGGACCTTCTCCCCAAAGCTTTTCTTAATGTCCTCAATGTCCCAATTCTTTTCAACTCTACGGTCAAACGCATCAAACAGTCAGATAAAGGTGTAACTGTTTCGTATCAAAGAGACCAACAGACCAACAGTCTTTCTGCCAACATCGTTCTGGTAACAACCACAACCAAAGCAGCCCTTTTCATGGACTTTGTTCCAGCTCTCTCCGTTAACAAGATGGAGGCACTGAGGGCAACCCACTATGACAGTTCTACTAAAATCCTCCTTACCTTCAGCGAGAGGTTCTGGGAAAAGGACGGCATCCGAGGGGGAAAGAGCATCACTGACAGGCCCTCACGTTACATCTACTACCCCAGCCATAGTTTCCCAACAAATAAGACCATCGGTGTCCTCCTGGCTTCCTACACCTGGTCTGATGACTCCCTCCTCTTCTTAGGTGCCAGCGATGAAGACCTGAAAGAACTGGCTCTGAGAGATTTGGCAAAGATCCATGGTGATCATGTCGGGTCTCTCTGCACAGGGGTGTTGGTGAAGAGGTGGAGCATGGATCCTCACAGCTTGGGCGCCTTCGCTCTCTTCACACCCTACCAACATTTAGAGTACTCTAAGGAGCTCTTCAGAAGTGAAGGCAGGGTGCACTTTGCTGGTGAACACACAGCCTTCCCTCACGCTTGGATCGAGACATCTATGAAATCTGCAATCAGGGCTGCTACCAATATTAACAAAGTGACCGTCTTCAATTTAAAAACCGCTAAATGTCCACCACGAGATGACCTCTAGGTTCTGCATGACCGAGTCTCAGCAACTGTGTACTATGGTATTCATAAAAAGAACACAAAAAAGTGCAACATATCTGGCTAATGCCACAGAAATGTACTATGTTGAAATGTGTCTGTCATAGAATGAAATTTGTTTCATAGTATACAAATACAAATATATCAATTTCATTAAGATTGAAAACAATCCCCCAAAAAACTTTATTTGAATATACATTTAATCATCAACCTTCCCATCCAGCCAATACTAGCTCACATTGCCAGTTTGCCACTTGACACATAGAAATCCATTTATGTTCATCTAGAGTCAGCAATTAACGTAGCCTGTATGTCTTTAGCCTGTGGGAGCACACCGAGCACGAAAGAACCCAACCAGCCGTTGGATTTGAACCCTGGACCTTCTTGCTTCAAAGTGTCACTTAATTAATACAAATATTTTCTTCCTCATAATCTTTCTCCACCAACACTTCTGTATTATACATAATCAATCAGGGGACACAGGTATGCTTGTCACATGGTACATACTGTATGTTTGTTGTGGCTGTGATTCACAGAAATAAAACTAAAACAAATGGCTGCCATTGACAAATGGTACATGCAGTACTTTATTTTTATGTCTCATGACGAATGCACCCGTCACATTCCAAATGTGATCATTTTAACTGATTTTCATGTGGATGCTTGGTAACACTACTAAGTGACTATTGTTGCAATAATATGTTCATATAATTTAACAATTAAAGGTTGTTTGGTCAAGTCTGTATCACTAGCTCGGCTGTTTTTACTTTGCTGTGTCTCCAGACACTTCTCACTTGCCCCAGGCTCATGCATTTCTCGTACCTGCAAACTCATGAGAGGTGAAAAAGGTGACAAGCCCGAAACCCTGAACAGTGTGAACAGTGTGATGAGGACATGTGGGCCCTTGTTGCTGTCGTTCATCTCATGGAGCAGAGGCTGCATGTAGCATACCCTGCCTTATCAATGTATTTAAAACACTGTGACAGCAGGAAGCTGCACTCACGTCTGTTTAGACCTCCACCTTTATCCAGGCCCAGCTCCACCTTTATCCAGGCCTAGCTCCACCTTTATCCAGGCCCAGCTCCACCTTTATCCAGGCCCAGCTCCACCTTTATCCAGGCCTAGCTCCACCTTTATCCAGGCCCAGCTCCACTCACATCTCAGCCCTGCGTCAAGCTGCGCTACAGTCAGCCTCCTCTCCCTGAAGCTCTTTGACCTCATCATCTCATCAGTATCTGG